CACTCAGGGCCGCGGCCGCCGTCCTTCTTCTTCTTCTTCGGTGCTGCGGTGCTCGTCGTAGTCGACTCATCAGGGGTGGGCCGTTCCTCTCCTGTTCCTGCAGTCTGTTGTTCATCTGGTGTTGATGGGGCAACAGTAGTGGTGTCAGTGAGAGGAAGAGTGGCAGAGGCACTCATGGACTCACTCATACTGAGGGATGGTGTGGTGGTAGTGAATTCACCGTTATTCCACTTCTCAGGTACCCCTTGTGCATCACCGCCCGTACCTCGTATTTTGTCCGGCTTCCCTTGTCCCTGCGCCTCTGTAGCGTATCCACCCACACGTGGCACCGGCAGTGGCATCCTCTCTGCTGCCGCACATGTACAGATGCAGGAGAGTATCAGTAGCAAGGTTAATAGTAGAGTTGTGCGCATAGTGATTGTGTAGCTGTGTTGTTTATTTATGATGCGTCATGTTATGAAAGAGAAGAAACAGAGAGAGCAACAGTTTATCATTGATAATATAGTTGTTAGAATAACAAACATAAAAAAGTAAGGTTTATTATTAAAATCCAAATCACGTAACCACTGATAAGTATTAATAAAGAACGAATTTCACAATTATTGTCTACTTGTTTCTTTATCTGGTTATGACACTACATCATGCAGTGTAGCAAAGACTCAAATCCAAATAGTTACTTGAAGTTTCATCATGTGAGCAACTTAGACGCAGAAAGAAAGGAATTTTCTGTTATGAAAGATTAGACGAAGATAGAATAATAATATTGGTAACGATACCTATTAGTGCCATCTAAAAACACTTAATCATTATCTTTTTTTCACTGCATGGTGTGGAACTCTGGTTTAGGGTTTGTTAGTGGGACAGCAGTACTGCAGTTCGTACAATACTGTGATGGAAATCAAGTGGCTTCACTAACTAACTACATTACTACGGACTGGGGGCATAACTCATATACACACAGAGTCATGCCATTAGGAACTTAGTCGTAACAAAGTAATTGCAGCACTATTAACTTTCTTTCCTTTTCTTTTTCTTCTTTCCACTATGTAGCCATATAAAGTGTTGCAGTATCAGTGTTTCCCTCTTTTCACTATTCATGCCCTTCACCAACAATCATATCACAGTTAGAATAGACACACACGTAACATGTACGCCATCCTTGGCATCTTCACTATCAGTACATATATCTTCAATTGACAGTAGGGAAGAAAAGAAGAAAAACAACAGGACAGTACAAATGAGGAATAGAAACCATTATTAAAAGGTACACGTAAACTTTACTTGGCGGAGAGTGAAGAAAAAGGAAATAAAAAAGATAAACCCATTAGTTTGATTCGGACTGCGTATGGAGAAGTTGTAAATAAAAATAGAATAAGTAATTAATTAATAACAATATATGATTATCACCGTTCAGTTAATTATTATTAATTTATTCTTTTCATTACAAGATACAGTGAAAAGACATCAACAATGAACCACACAAATAATAATAATGACTATTACGCAATCAACATAGTATAGGATTGTACGTGGGGAATGGGTACTATCATCTCCATCTACTTCAGACTCCACTATGAGGTGTTGGTTCGCAAACATTAAGAAAAAAGCAAACAAATGTATAAAACAAACAAACAATAGTGAATTAGAGTATTATAGATTCAGTTATCTGTTAAGGGTGACCAGCACACTACCCATTATCGCAAACATTCTCTATTAAACCGTAATTTCTCTCAACTATTAATTAAATTGATGCAGTAACGTTGTATACCTCCTCCTGCATTACTACTGCCTCTGTTGGTAGGGGTTCTATTGGTAAATCCATGCAGACCTCACTGTATGGAGGACACACAATGCGGCCACTACTAAAGACTGAAGTAACAGAGGGTGAAATACTGCTGCCCTCCTTACATTCATACCAATGATCATCCCCTTTATACTGTACACTCACTTTCCCACCCTCACACTTCACATTTGCACAGATATCTCCAATGACTGAATGAATATCAATAGTAGACACATCACGCAGCCGCAGTGCATCTCCTTTCAGACAACGTGATGTATTACCGATACGACTTCCAGGCATGTGGGCCTCACTGCCGTTCTCACACACAGTTGCCGCAGTGGCTTTCACAACAGCACACTCCCTCTTCTCTCCACGGTGTTCTGCAGAGAAAACAGAAATAGGCTGCGAGGAGAGACTACGAGTGCAGTGCCCAAGTGCAAAGCGGTCTGATGTGCACTGCAGAGTTGTTGTTCTGGTAGCAACACTACTACTATCGCAGGACACATCCGAGTGTTTGCCCTCACTTTTCTCTACACAGTCACCACTGAGAAAACCACATCCAGAGTGATTGCCCCATCGCATTGTCTCTGCCATGCTGTAGTTGGCCCGGTTTTT